CATTTAATTTATTTATTTTTATATTTTCTTCCCCCCTCCTGAACTTTTCATTTTCGTTTTTAATTTTTTTTTATTTTAATTTTTAAATTTTTTTTTTTTTATTATTTTAATTTTTTGCATTTTTTTTTGTTTGTTTTTAATTTAATTTATTTATTTTCCCTCCCCCAAACTTTTTCGTTTTTGTTTTTTTTTAATTTAATTTATTTTATTTTCCCCTCTCCCGAACTTTTTGTTTTTGTTTTTAATTTATTTTTTATTTTATTTTTTAAATTTTTTTTTTAATTTATTTATTTCCTTCACCTGAACTTTCGTTTTCGTTTTCGTTTTATTTTTTTTTTTTTATTTTTTTTATTTTTTTATTATTTTAATTTTTTGTGTTTTCGTTTTGTTTTTTTTAATTTAATTTATTTATTCCCTCACCCCTGAACTTTTCGTTTTTGTTTTTAATTTTTTTTTTTTTTATTTTTTAAAATTGACACTTGAACTTGACTTGCTTTGAATAAATTCAAATCAAATCGAATCGAGTTAAAATCGAGTCGAGTCAAATTAAGTCGAGTTTAAAATTTATATAACTTGAATCAAATCAAATTAAAAGATTTTATAAAATAAATTTGACTCAACTCGACTTGAAAAAAATGAGTCGAATAGAGTTGGTCTTTAAACTCGACTCAACTTGACTCATTCGGAACTCTAGCCTTTTATATAGATCTTAACCTAACAGAAAGTGTTTAAACATTTGAAAAATTGTCTAATCACAGCATCAATCTTAATATACTCTGACTTTAAGTGAAAGTTTCTATTATTTACTGATGAATCTTATATAGGACTTGGAATAGTACTAGTATAACTAGATGACTAAGGTAAAAAATATGTAGTTGTATACGCTAGTCAAAGTCTGAATGCTGAACGAAATTATACGTCTACTGAATTGAAGTGTTTTACTGCTATTTGAGAAATTAAACATTTTAGGTTATACCTACTTTATTAACTATTTGAGTTAGTTACTGACTACATAGCATTACAATAGTTGTTTAATAAATCAGATTCACCCAGAAAATTTATGAGGTAGATCATTAGAATTATGGAGTTTTCTTATAAAATTAGATATAGGAAAGGAAAAATATATTTAAACACAGATGCTTTATCTTGACTCCCCTCTCTCACAATTTAATTACAACTTAAGAATAACAAAATAAAGAGTGAAAGCTTAAGTATCAGCAGTGTAACTGACAGCTCTAATAATTAAAATAGAATTAGAAACTTACAACTAACTGTATAACTTTCTTAACACCTTAACCTACTTACCAAATATTACCCCTATACAATAACTTGAAATTTGAAAACAATCTTTCAAATATTTTATTAAAAATCAACAATTTTATCGTACAAATTAAAAATAACCTTTACAATTCCTATTAGTCATTAGAATCACTAAAGTTGAAACCTTAATTCACAAAGTACATAATGAAATCCTAGGAGGATATTTAGGTCAAAATATCATTTACAATAAAATAGCCTCTAAGTACTACTAGTCGAATATGTATTGAGTCATTGATAATTGGATAAAAACTTGTGATATATGTCAACAGCAAAGAAGACTCAAGTAAATAGAATTCCTACACCTAATACCAATCAGACAACATTCTATTATATTAGAATAGATTACATAGGACCTCTTTCTCAAATCATCAAGGGGAATAGATACATTATAGTTGCTACTGAATATCTTATTAAATAGATAGAAGCCGCTGTCACCCCTGATTGTACTTCCTAAATAACTGCACAATTTATTTATGATGACATAATTTGTCGACATCGTATATCAAAAGAAATCTTAACAGATAGAGCTACATTCTTTCAAAATGAATTAATTGCTGCTCTTATACATGGGGCCTTTGCAATAGAAAGGGAGGAAACTCCAAAAAAATTAAAATTTTAGTTTATAAGCCAAAAATGTTTCAAATACTATAATTTGTTTAGATTTATTATTAACTCATTTTTTATTTTTTTTTGAGTTTCCTCCCTTTCTATTGCAAAGGCCTCACATATTATTAGAACTAAACATAGATTATCATCTCTATATTACCTTCAAACTAATAGATTAATTGAACGATTCAATTGAACTCTTTGTAATATTTTTAGCAAAATATGCAAGTAACATAAAGGTGAATGAGATTCATATCTACCTTCAGCCCTGTTTGCTTATCAAACTGCATAGTAAAAAATGACCAAATTAGAGCCCTTTAAATTATTATATGAGAGGAAAGTCATATTACCTATCGATTTACAATTACGATACCCTTCTTTTAAGAGTAACTTTTCATAAGCAATGAATAAACATCATCAGTTAATTTTAGCCTAATTAGAATAAAGGAGATTTGATGCACAACAAAATATTTTGTAATATTAACAAAACAACAGAAATGTTACAATAAAAGTCATCTTAAAATAAATTATCAAATTGGTAACAAGGTGTTAACATTTAATATATCACAGTCACATATATATGGTGATAAATTTAAAGATAAATTTAATAGACTGTTCTATATACATGATATTGTATGACCATATACATACAAATTACACACTATAGATGGACAAGTTAGAAAGAATCCAGTATATGCTGATCTCTTGAAACTATATTTAGAAAGATCTGAATGGACATTACAGATCATTATTAGTTGATAAAATTTCTTATAAATATAGGCTAGTAAAGACTCTGACAAAGCTATTTGGTAAAATTTGAAATGGCTATACTAGATAATTTTGAAACTGTATTGGAATAACTGAAATATACGATAAATCTCTCGACTATGACATTTAAAACTTAGAACTTTATAAAGCTGATATGACTTTATCACAAAAAGTGCAATTAACTTACTGAGTTCTTTTACGATCAACATACATAAATAATTACCTTTTATCACTTGTCAATTCCTTTTATTTAGGATAATTTTTTGAAGACGAAACTCTTACTCCTGCTCAATATATCTTATAGGCCTCTACTATTACCATACATTATTATTGAACTGCTGTATGAGTCTTTTATTTATTTAAAAATCTTGGAGTCCAATAAATCTTTGATACTCAGTCACTTACCTTAATGATAGTTCAACGTTTGAAAACTACTAAATATTAAGCCTTAGTAATTAAAGCTTTAAATCTTTTTACTAGAGCAGAAATCTTAAACGTGAAATAATATAATCAGATTGAATTGATAAACATGATGCAGTATATTACAGATCTAAATATCAAATATATCAGATATATTTAACATATAGGATATATTTGATATATCTGACATAACTGATATATCGGATATATTAGATATATTTAATATATTAGACACTATTTGATTTATTTGTTATATCTATCTATGTATTAAATTTAATATAAATAAAGAACAATAAAATCATGTAAACTTTAGTTCATTTTTAGTTCACTTTTAGTTTTCCTTTTAGTTTACTTTAGATATACATTTAGTAGCACTTTTAAAGGTACCTAGCCTAACCCTCACATTTAGTACTTTAGTCCTTCAATTATCTTTATTTTCTTTCTTATTTTCTTATTTTTTTATTTCTTTATTATTTCTTATCATGAATAAACATATTATTATAACTCTAAAATCAATTGAACTATCTTATTTTTAGTATTGTTGAGAGTACATTATCATATAAATTATAAAAACTTGAGATAAACTGAATTAGGTCACTATGTAAACTTAAAAGAATCACTCAAATACCCTGTCTAACAGTTGTAATTTGATAGAATTGCACATTAACAATAGAATATAATATTAAATTTTATAATTTTTTTAATAAAATTGAATGAGATAATTTTAATATTTTTATAATAGGATATGATATTAAATTTTTTATAATTTTTTAATAAAATTAAATGAGATAATTGCTAATTTTTATTGTAATTTCTTCTATTACTACTATACTTAAAGCAGTTATATAATACTTAATATTATTATTTACTAGTGTAAAATATTTATATTATTATTATACAGTTTCTAATAAAGATTTATTAAATATTTATTTAGATAAAAAAAATTAATTAAACAAATATCAGAATTTATAAAAGCAGTATTGTATGATAACATAAATTTATTAATTATTTATTTTTAAAATTTTTTATGAAATTTTAAATAAATGTAATTAAAAATTAATGTATTTTTTTTTTATTAAATTTAATTTATTTTATTAGAAATTTTAATATATATAATATAACTATTCTGGATCAGTTACATTATTTGAATATTGGGCTGTTTAATTATCAACTTAAATATAGCTAGTAATTTTCTTAAATATTATGTGAATAAAAAGCTATAGATGAAATGAATAGACAATTAAACTTAATAAGAACCCTAGACATTACATATAGAACTCATAACTGATCTGCATAAAATCAATTACTTTTTGCTCCTTTCAAAATTAGCCTAATTTGCTCAAAATCAAATTATTATATTGAAATTTATATTAATTTGCTAAAATTCAAAAGATGACTTTAAATATTTTTTTATATTATTTAATAAAATTTATTGGATAAATTTGCATAAACTGCAAAAATAACAAAATAAGGTTTGTAATGCACACATAATTAATTAAATTTATCACGAAAAGTGCATTAAAAATCATTTCTGTTTCTTAATTTTAAATTGATCGACAAATCATATGACCAAACTATTTGAAACTGTATTTTTATTTTATTTCTATAATCTATATACAAATTATTTATTCAGTTCTTTGTTAAGGACATTAAAAGTTTTTTTCACACCCTTTAAGAATCAATGCTTCTTTATTAACACTAATATCTTTAGAAGCTAAATGGTAAATAATATACAAAATGTCAACATGAGTAAAAATACAAAAAGAATTATCTAAAATCTCCAAAAAAATTGCATCATTAACATAAAAATAAATTTTCATAAATACATATGAAAGAGATTTGAGATTTGAAACAAAAGTATCAATATAAGAATGTATTGAAGCCTTTTATTCATATATAGCAATGATTTGATCAATACAAAGTGTATTATCAAACATAGCTATTACATAAGAATCAGTTTGTAATAGAAAAATAGCAGTTACATTAGCATATGAAAGATGCTCTAAAAAAATAAATAAAAAGATAAATTAAGTTAAAGAAAATTAAAAAACTAATTAATAAGAAAAATTCTAAGTTTACCTGGAGAGTTTTGCTTTCCAAATACTTTATTATTATTTTTTCCTGATTTCTATCTATTTTCTTATGATTTGATAGTTATGAAATCATTTTTAGTCAAATATGAAATCAAACTACTTGCTTTATTAATGTCAACTTTACTATTGTTTTCATTGATATTTTCCAATAAAACTTTTTTGCATTCAAGCTTTTTACTTAAATAAGCATTATGATGTTGACGCAAATTTAAAAAGTATTCAATATTTAATAATCTATCCAAAATATAATCAAAATCTTTGGAATCTACATACAAATATACAGACAATTAAAAAAAACAAATTAGAAAAAAATATTAAATAATAATAATAAATTACTTACAATTTAGATACCATAAAATATCAGGTAATTTTTGAATATATTTCACAATTACTTGACAGGTTTTATAATTTTTTTCTAATAAAGATGTAGATGCTATAATATCCAAATCTGATAAATTAGATTTCTCTTGACTTGATAACTTAGATACTGCATAGTTTATATTTTGAGAAATAGTTGAATTATTATTATCATTAGATTCTTCATCAGTATACCTAAATAAATTTGGATTATCATCCTAAAAATCTTCAAGTTGTAAAGTAGGAAGTTTTTTGTAAATAGTAAAGTAATAGGCATCATGTAGTATATCGGTCATTTCCAAATATTTTGCTAAATGAACAGCTTTTTTATAACTTGCTTTGATTGTATTGTCAATCTTAATATTAGATAACCAGTAGTGTAAACATTCAAGATTATTACCTATAAAATCAATTTCTTCATATTCATTAAAATTGTAACCTAAATAAATTGATCAAAAATGTAATAAACCATATGATGTAAAATAAATTAAATCATATGATGGACTTAAAAAATACTTACCTTCACGCACTGTTTTTTCCTTTCTAAATGTCAAATTATTAGATTTAACAAATTTAAAATATTGATTAATTTTTGGAACTATTTGAATGATTTTCAAATAATTAAAATTAGAGCAAAATTAGCAAGAAATTCCAAAAATATATTTATATGATTCAGTGCCATATTTCTATGGTAATAAAGAAATATCTTTATAATAATCACAGTGAATTTTAATTAAAAGAACTAAGGATTCAACTAGATTAATCATAATATTAAAAGGTTGCGTTGCTAAAAAGTTTTTTGAAATGGATATATAAGAAGGATAAAGTATACAGTCAACTCTTGATATAGTGAACTCTTGATATAACAAATTTTTTGAACAAATATAATAAAAATACTCTTGTTATAGCGAATTGGCCAATCAAATCTCTTAAAATCTTCACTATAGCCTTATAGTGAAGTTGAGATCTAAGACATAGAGTTCGATATAACAAGAGTTGACTGTATTAAGAGTTTTAATATAATATTTTCATAAATGTAAAAAAAATATACAGTCATAGCCATTTCGATCCTTTCATAATGTGTAATATTTTGATTGAGATAGCAATCAATAAGTTCTCCTAAGTTAAATTTAATTAATTAAACATTTAATAAATAAAAATAAAAAATAAAAACAATAGTACTTACCCATAACGAAAAGATAAATAAATAATCCACGCTGTTCACAAGGTAAATTTTTTTCTTTATTAGTAGTTGTTTCAGATTTTTTGAGTAAAATACTCTATATGCTGCATTGTCATCTTAGTGATCTGATCTTATAACATCCTGTTTATACATAACACTATCTTCTTTACAAGATAATTCTAATAGTTAATCAAATCGGACAGTAGAATTTCCAAAAGTAAGTAAATAGGCATCAAATATAGCAGCATTTCTTGCTATTTTTTTTTTCATATTTTGGGTCTTGAATTCGAACTACAGATCTAACTTTAGAGAATACAGAATAGTTAAAATTAATACCAAATTGAAAGTTTCGATATTAAACACACCTGTTAGTTTTAGTTACTTATAACAAGTTTTGTGTTTGAAATTCTGTAGCTGCTCCATCTGATCCAATGGAAATAATATGTATTTTAAGTCTTGTCAAAATATTAATAAGTTTTTGATGTAATGCAAAAACTTTTTCAGTATTATCATTTCTAGCAGTTGGAATTAATATAATAATTATGGGTGAAAATTTTGGAAGAGACACCTTATATACAATAATAACAATCAATTAATTAGTAATTTCTTTATCAGCCTAATCATAAAAAAGAATTTTTAATATATATACATGTGACATTGTGATATATGCATATAAGTTACACTGATTAAAATATAACAGCTTATTTAAGCATATTATTTTGATTTTGATTTTTTTAAAATGCATTTTGAAAATTTTATTATTATAGTAATAAAAATTACCTGAAGAATATAAATTCTGACATCTTTCACAATTGCATTTCTTTGTTTAATATTAGAAACTTTATCATATATATCATCATAAGTTTTAATTTTGCAATCATTACTATCTAAAATTGATATAATAATACAACCCAATTTTGATGAATATTGTAATCCTGCTTTTAATTTTGTGCAATCAGTCATTGCTACCACTGGATCTTTATAATTTATTATGTCTAAAAGCCTTTTAAACCTAGCAACATTTTTGTAACAAAGTTCAGGATTATTAATAGAGTCTTCTGAAGCACTTCTATGATGTCTATAATTAATTTAAAATTATAAATATATTTAAATATGAATATAATACATATAAATTTAATTATCTAATTGTACAAATTGTCATGCCAGCCAAATTTTAACAAAATAAATCTAATGCTTTTAGACTAATACTTCCTAAAATAACAAGAAAATCTAAAATTCATTAGAATACTTGAGATTTTGTAAGCCTTTATCTTTTTCTTCACGCTCTGCAGCTTGTAATATAATGTAGCAAAGCCATTTGAATACTGGTCTTTATTCAAATGCATCTTGGATAGCTTTATTAGCAAGTTTTATTCAAAATCCTGCAGATAGTGAATTTTTGTCGGTAAGGAGTTCATTTAATTGTTTAATTTGAGAGTTTTTTTAGATATGTTAATAATGGATTATTTCAAAATAAAATTTTGGTATATGTTTAATATTTTTTGGATCAGGAATAGCAGCTCAAACACGATTTCAAAAATAAGAATTATTACAAATAAGAAAACATAGTGAACAAGTCTGCCCATAAGATTTTTTCATAATTGACTGATCGAACACATTTTCCTAATATAAAAAAGATTATCTTAATTTTTAATTGATAATCAAAAAAAATTGTAAAAAATAATAATTTTACCAAGACGATCGATAAACCATTCTGATTCAGCTACAATTTGTTATTACAGTAGCGGTCATAAGTATCCGACCGCCTTTAACTCCGGCTACAAGTAAGTAAATTCAAAATTTTTTTTTTATTTAAAAAATACATAACCAACTAACT